GTATATAAGTTTTTTTAGTAAAAGATACTACTCCTGTAGCTTAGATTCTCAGATTTTATAGAATATATAAAGTATATAATATAATTATTTATATTTTATATAATTTTATTAATATATCTCTGGCTGTATTTAACTAATTTTTATATTTTATTTTAAATTATAAATTTCTATATATAGACTAAGCTAGTTCTGTACTTTTATATATTATTATTAATTTAATTAAAATATTTTTATAATTTTAGTTAATATAATTTAATAAAATCAGATTATAGTTATTCTTTCTATTTTTTTTTATTATTAAGTTTAAGGAATTTGATTAAATCTTTTTTATTTTTCTTAATAATTTCTTAAGCTGAATTTTCTTTTATTAAAAATATTTTTAATTTTTATTTTATACCTGCGCCTGTTTCTTCTGGATTAATATTTTATTTTTATATTATTTATAAAAGTCTTTTAATTTATCTATATTTTAATTAATAATATTTTTAAATTTATTCTTTATTATATTAAATTAGTCTTCTGCAGAAATATCTAAGACTTTATATAAAAATTATAAAAATAGAAATAATACTTAAAAGAGAGAAGTTATAAATAGAAGAAGATATAAAAAAAAAAAGTTATAAAGAAGAAAATTATAGAAAAGAAAGTTATAAAAAAAGAGAAAGATATAAGATCTCTAATAAAGAAAAAATAAAATAACAATGAATAAACTATAAAGAATATATTTAATATAGTAAATAATAAGTAAAGTAGCTTTTATTAAATAGATTTAGAAAGAAAATTAATCAGTTTTCTACAGTAATAAATAGCTATAAAATAAACTTTAAATAATTATATATTTAGATATAGTTTATATATATGGTATAAATACTAGTATAACTATTATATATAATATAATAGAATGTTTACTATATACTTTAGTCAGTAATTGTTAGTAATGATTATATAACTGGCCATAATCCCCGGCAACTTACGCCAGCGGCCTACTATGTACCTTGTAATACCTAACAGAATATAGCAGGAACATGAAATTTATCTGTACCCATTCTTGCACCTCCAAGGCCTATGCGCCAACTGGCTCCGGCTTGGACTTCCACTTGGGCTTGGACCGGGCTAGATGACTTTTATCTTCTCTGTTTACTGCCAGACACCATTTCTTCCTTCCTTTCTGGTCCTTGGCTCTATCCTAGCCTTTCTCTTCTTTTTACATGTCCCTTGAGGTATCCTGATTGACCGACTCACGACTTGCTCGAATTTGTCACACCCCCATTGACTAGTGTTATTATGACTATCATAGTCGCAAGACGGCCTAGCAAGCACCACCGGTCAATATACCCAGTGATGCTATGGACCACGCTCAAGGATCCATTTAGTAATAATTGACGAACCACCAGGGATTCCTGAAATCTCCAGAAGCTAAATACACCTATGAACAGAACCTCTCCAGACACTTCCCGCAATGGGTGGTCCCTAAAATATTGCGTTCTAGTATCGAGCGTAACACAGTATATAAATCCCACTGTATCCTGCGCGATAAGGGATTGTGTACTTCCGGTCACCCTAAGGCGGAAGGAATTTTCTGCTTCTGATTCATGGATCGTCGAAAATGAAACTTTCATCTCTATATCGTTTGATTATTTCGTATGGCACTCCTCCGGTAACAGGTTCAGCTATGTCAATATAGCAATTCCGCAGGTCTAAGGAATAAACGACATCCTTTTAGTAGGAACCAAGCTGCAGTCATCTGAGAGTCGGTCAAATTTTTATATGAATGGCCCCGCCTTGAATAGAAATGGGGTTGCTTTCATGTTGTCGACAATAGTAGACGCCCATCGAGTATTATAAATGGCGACACCCGCCGCGGTTTGTGCTCTCGTTCTAGGGCTTTATTGAGAGTGTGATACATTTGCTGGACGGTCCAGTAAACCAGAGAATTGTAATGCTGATACAGCTCCTGTTGAGCATGTCCCAGAAGGGCACAAAGTCTTGGGCTGCCTCTGATTAGATGGAAGTAGCGGAACGGGGGTCACACCAAAGTTCTCATTTGGGATTGAGACTTGAATGCGGCGGAATATCAGACATCTAATAAGTCCTCGAATGTGGTACTTTGCGGATCAATAACCTACCGAATACACGAGCTTTGACAGACTTGCGACTGCATAACAATGACTGCTCTGTGTCTGTCTTCATCCTGGTGGAAGTTCTGTAGGCGTCAGTTTGGAATAGATATCTTCCTATATCTGAATGTCAACTGATGCAACATGATACTCGGGATGATCAGGTTGCTCCATTCTTTCTGAGCAATGTTGTAGATGTTCGCAGGTATTTTGCAGGATCAGTTCTGACCATGGCACAAGCAAGGCATACATACACCCATGCATCAACCTGGACTAAATCCTTCCTCACAACTTACCACGCTATCTCATCCGACGCTCTATCATGAGATACTTTCGAAAACAGGCTGGTCTATCCCAATAAACTCTGTAAATTACCAGAAGTCATTTTCTTAAAAACAACTGAGGCAGCAATCGACCAATTAGTCTCTCAAACTCGAGAATCAGCGGGCCCCCATGGGCAGCAGAGGGAGTGCCAGTCCCAAACCAACACCCATTTTTGAGAAGATGGGCGCCACAAACCCTACTATCCCGTCATACTCAGCTCGTGCCTATGTAACTGAACCGCCCACCTATAGTAAGTACTCTCGATAGTCATGGTTTTCTTCCCTGCACTCATGGATGCAGACGGCATACTCGGGAACGAGTGCCGCACCACATAATGCCGTCTTGGGACGCACCTCGCGGGAAGCCTCTGGTCCGTTTAGAGTACAAACTTGTTATTAAATTTCAGTTGCCACTTGCTAAAATAAACATCACTTTTCTGGAACTTATCATTTAATGTGGTTTCACTGCTCGTTCAACGCGCGTTCGAGTTTATACCCAAAAGGCATAAAGGCGGAGCTCGGTGTTTGCCATTGAACAATCGTGGTATCACGTATGGAAGGATCCTGATCCTGCCCCTAGCTCACGGGGAACAGGTTGCACGCATGGACGTGGTCATACTCGGCTTCTTTCTTCTTTTGAGCGTCACTTCCGTCCTTTGGTATTAGGGTAATATGCTCAATATGAGACAAATTTTGAACACAACGTTACGTTGGATTCGTCGGTCAACATAGGGATGAACCTCCAGTTGGAGAGAGCTACCAAAGCCTGTCGGCATTCATCATCTCCCTCGAATCTGGGATGGTGCTGTGAGATGCTGGGAGAAGGAAAGCAGTCACTAGGTCGGAATGCAGCTTCAGTATTATGTATAGCCTTACGTATTATCTTATTCTTCTTAACACTGGTAAGGAAAAAGAAGGCCCGGTCTGGCACAGTGCCATTGACAAACGTATGCTCATGGCATATCACGATCTCAATCGCCAGGTATGAGTGAAACGGGTCTTTTAAGTAAGATTTAGTCTCGAACTTGTGTCCTTGGTTAGTATCGTCAACCAAATCTAAACTTATACTAGAAAGACCTCGCCTCCTGAGTTGCCTATCTACCAATCCACCGTCTTCTCACAATCAAGGGAGTGATTCTGACAGCCCGCATTCTATTGCCAAGTGGGGCCAGTCTCCTTCTTTAGCCGATTTGGAAGTTGTGGATTTTTTGTATGATGGGACCTGATTTATATATATCTCTCTCAGGCGAGCCCAGAAGGCCGAGATCTCTATCTTGCAATGCTTGAGACTTCTGTAAGTATGAGTGTCCTGTTAGTATCGTTTAACCAAATCCAAACTCATACTAGAAAGACCTCCCCCCCCGTGTTTCCTATCTACCACTCCACGTCTTTCCACAATCGAGGGAGTGATTCTGATAACCCGCATTCAATCGCCCAATGTGGCCATTCTAGCTGGTCAATGAGGCTCCATGCTTCATTTGTGTATGTGGAATCAACCTCTTTCTGTACTTAGTCAATTTTATTGTCTTGAGGAGCATTGCCTCCTATAAAGACAACAAGCACAATGTATACATCACCGCTTCATATAGTCGCGTCTCGATCGCCCAGTGGTACCGATCGACGTCGCTTCGACTCAGTAGCCGACCTTGAACGCGGTGTCTCCTTCTTTAGTCGATTCGGATGAGAAGCACCGCTGCTCCAAATTTACAGTTTTAGCGATTCCCGCTTGTTTTGGTCGAAGCATATATTCCCAGACGACAGTCGGTTTGTTGTCCTTGACAATCATGTGTGCTGTTGTCCCAAGGGCCCACCCACACTGAGTCATTTTGATTAGAGTGTTGATTTCCGCGAAGTACGTACATACAACGGGCTTAATGATTAAGAACCTTCTGTCAGTTCGAAGTTCTATGGCATGCTTAAAAGCAACGGATTGGCTTGTATAGCTGTTGCCGATTCGCGGGAGGCGGGCCCGTAGGGAAATAAAGATTGTTTGTATACTTGTGGTCCTTGGTATGCGAGGATGGATACCGTAGGATCTAACCCCATATCATTCTTGAACATCGAATAATGAATAAGCCATATGTTTATGCCACTCCTTCTTATCAACATATCGCCAGCGATACATCCCTCACCACATTTCCTACCCTATACCATAGCCTCCTGGGCCTCAAGCTCGCGGGTTTCATTGGCTAAGGGCTTTCAAGTCAATCGCCATGTAGCCTAGTACCTGTGCTGTGCTATGCTATGTCCCATTTGATCTGATCATAGTCGGTCTCCTGGATGACATAGGGCCTAGGGACAGGAGTTACACGATGATTGTCTTACTCGGTTTTGTGTATTCACAACCTGTGTCATCTAGCTTTCTCCCATTCTCTGCGAGAATATCATGGCGTCTTGTTCAGCCATCACGGGTAATTGAGACTCGCATGCGACACTCTGGAGATGTATGTTTGATACCATGCCGGAACTTTTCTTCTGGTAGCTCCAAGTCACCGGCCCTTCTCAGCGCATCATCGGTATAAGCGTTATATTGTCGCTCATTTTTAAGGTCGGCGACAAGATGAGTCTTGTTGAGGACCAATTCGAGACCGGTACTCTCCACCATGTGCGTTGATTGTTGAAGAAGGACTAGAAGTGCCGCGTTTGGCGCTGCCTCGTCTTCGGCATCGCTGAACTCCTCCACCTCTTAGTTCTGGGACTGGGCTTTGCCTGGTATTATGGGGATATTCTGGATGGATAATATGACATTGGCTAACGTCGCCGCATATGAGAGCTTCAAGATGAAAGTCCTGATATATTCGTTTAAGTGATGTCTATATAACTCGGGCTATATTCTAGATATAGTAGATAAAGGCTTTTTTTAGATCTGCAAGGCATCATATGGAGGAAGTTGAAGAAGAGAAAGAAAAAGATGTGTAGCAGTCGGAGTTTTTATAGATAAGTAGAGAGAGTTAATGAGATGATAGTGCTGGGGTACTTCACAGGATGATTCATTCCCTATATCTATCAAGATTCCCTTTGAATGGTATGCTTCAAGGAACTGTCCCCTATACTGATCGATGAGATATCCCCTGATTGAATTGCATAGATGCAATTGACCAAGGATCTGTGAATCGGTCTGCTGAACCGGAGCGACCAGAGAAATGGTGACAATGATACCCTTCACCTTACTAACTCAACTGGCGTTCTTATTCCCCAATCCCCCAGTTTTCACAACCTCAAACAAGCTATGACATTCCTCGAAAAACACCCCTCGCTATTGCCAGCAGCGCAGCAGAATCAAAAACTACATCATGCTCTTGTCCAACAGCAGGCCGTCCGATAATTGTATCGAACTCCAGAATCAGCGGGGCACCCTGGACGGAAGGAGGGTTGGCCTTCATATGACGATGATGGTGGAAACGCACCGACGAACGTGAACAGCCCCGATCTCTTGCGCTTTCGTTCTCGGTCCTTGCCGAGCATAGGGAACGTACTTTTCGATGGTGATAGTTTTTCTGGCCCGTGAAATATCCAGAAGCAGAACCAGGTTAACGTGCCCTCCCTTCCCCCCACCCCTGAGTTGCCTATCCACCAATCCACGGAGGTGCGGTAACGACTCGAATAACCCGCATTCAATGGTTCAGTGGGGCCAGTCTCCTTCTTCAGCCGATTCGGAAGTTGTGGATATCTTGTGGTTTACGTGTCTCTCTCGGGCGACCCCAGAGGGCCGAGATCTCTGTCTTGCAATTGTTGAGACTTCTGTAAGTACGAGGCGGGTAAAGTTCATAATTGTCAGGGTGGTGGTCGAAGCAGGCAATATAGAAGAAGACGACAAGATGTCCGGGCCTGGTATGCTCTCTGTTACTTCAGTAAGCAGGAGCACGGTGGAAATCTTGGATCCTTGCTATTGGGGATAGTACCTTATTTGATGAATCGATGACGCTTCTATGCTGCATGTTGGTTATCGGTGGAAGCGGAATCATTGTGATATAACTTGAAGCTTGCTTGTGCTGTATGGTATAAACTTTCGGGATTCAGCCTCCCCGGCCTGTTGCGGGATGATTCATTGCTGCAGTTGTTGCAGCTACTACCCAAAGTGGTATTGTATGATGAATACCTACCTTAAGTTGATTGTAGAGGTAGAGGAAGTGGAGGGACCGTCTATATACTAGTGTACTAGAGATGTCTTAAGTCTAACCATACAGAATAGGAAGGAACACGTGATCATGTGACTGCACTGCAATGAATTGAAAGACTGTAACATCTATTCACTTATCCTAGACGATTCACTTAGATACATACCACTACCACTACAATAATATGGATCCCAAACTAAAGATGAAACCCCCCCCCATCGATCTTTGTAGTTATGGATTTCTTGCAAGATAAATATGGGAAAGCGTTGGGCTATCTGAGAACTGGGATGTACATCCTTATGAATGAGAATGGCCCGAAAGCGAGGAAAGCAATATTCAGTTATCTTATCACCTCCCAAACAACTTAAGGTATCCCCATAAAAACAAGACGACCCATCTGAACCAATCGCGCATTGTCGAAAATGACGTTCGTTTCAGGGGCAACAGCCGGACGACCGACCAAACGATCGAAGTCCAGCACTAATGGGCCGCCTTGGACAGAAGGGGGAGTTGTCCTCATGTCTATCACAGTAATGGTCACGAGTCGCTTCACATAGACGCCGGCGGTTTGGGCTCGAGTGCTGGGTCCTTGTCTGATCTGCGGGAAGTACTTCTCTATCGTAATTTTCTTCGCCGCGCGGTCAACTCTAACTAGCAAGGCCAAGAGGACTTGTCCACCGGAGTTTCCGATCCACCAATTCATGTCTTGACGCAGCCGACGGAGTGATTCAGACAGGCCAGCTTCAATGATCCAGTGGGGCCAGTCACTATCTTCGTTAGGTCTCAAAGTGCTATTTCTAGACGAGAAGTCGCCTTGTTTCTGGGAGCGCGAGGCCGCAGTGTGTGTGGCGGAACCTGTGGGCAGTTGCTGATCCCAGTCGATCCCCATGTTATGCAAGATGGTCAATGTCTCAATTGAAATTAACTGATGCGCCTTTTCGTGTGGCGCCAGCGGGACTTTGACGATCATAGTCTGAATATCCGGATAGTAGGTAAGTCGGACAAGTTTACACAACCTATTACGGTTGTTCTCCAGGTAAAGAAATGAGCTTGGCGATATGTGCTTGAAAGAAAGAAATTGGTCTGCGTCCCGCTGTCTCAGCCGGTCCCAAACGGCCATGATGGCCTAATTGAGATCATTGATTCCTCGATAGGTTCGGGGGGGTAATGATTCCGTCAACGCAAGTGAAGCGGAGTCGGGAAGATTGTACGTCAAGGACATGCTCGTCGATGGAGCTGGCATTATTTCTGTCACTTCTGTCAACGGAGTTGACTCTGTCTCCTCTCGGTCTGTCATAGAGCGGGACAGCATCTTAAGTATGATTAGTTAGCGAGTTTGCCAGTGCCATAAGCATACTCTAAGCTTTCGGGACTTACCTTGGCGGCCGGTACTAGTAGATGACGAAATAGCAAGTGAGGTATGCTCGGACAACGCTTGTACTCGATAACGTCGAACGTGATCGCCAGGCAGGACGAGGCAACAGGAAAGCTGTTAGACAACACCGCGGGAGGCGTCGCGGCAGACGTAGTGGAAGAGAAAGGACAAGAAAAAGACGCGTAGCAGACGATAACTGCAGCGGGCACGCCGCGCCTTCCTTATTCTTTCTACATAGACCACAACAATACTCCACATCTAGATCAACATCAATCAACCCTCCTAAAGATGGAACCCCCCCATCTCATTAACCTCACAAAATCTCCACAACCCAGCCTGCACCGCCGCCTCCCTCACCCCACTCCATTCCTCGTCCCTAACAGCCCGATTAATCTCCTTATACCTGACCTCTCCCTGCCCATCCTCCTGTCCACCCCTTCCCCTCTTCCTCCTCCCCACATACGCATCAGGCCTATACTGCTCCATAACATGAACATACAAATCCCTGGAGACATTCTCCGCCAACCATCTTACAATCTCCCTCCCCTCATCCTCCAACCCCGGCATCACCAAGTGTCTCAACAACACCCCTTTCTTCGCAATCCCATCAGAGGTGAAACTCAAATCCCCTACCTGCCGATGCATCTCCTTGATACTCTCTTTCGCGGTCTCGACATACTCCTCCGCTTTAAGTAATCGCTTCGCGGTACTTCCCTTCCAGACTTTGAAGTCGGGGAGGTAGATATCCACTAATCCATCTAGGAGATGTAGTGAGTCGAGGGAGTCGAAGCTGGATGTGTTGTACACGATGGGGATCTTTAATCCCATGTCTCTTGCATCGAGGATCGAGAGAACGACTTGCGGGACGACGTGTTCGGGCGTCACTAGGTTGATGTTGTGTACGTGTCCGACTGTTTGGAGCTTCATGTACCACTCTGCTAGCTCGGTGGGCGTGAGATCGTGTCCGGCTTTTTTGTGTGCTATGTCCTATACATTTCCATTATCATCATCAACACCACACACCCTACCCACAAATCTCAAGTTATATCAAGGGGAAGGGGGAAGCCTACATGATTCTGACAAAACACACACCGCATGTTACAGCCGGAGAAAAACACACTCCCCGAGCCATGAAACCCCTGGATGCAGGGTTCTTCGCCGCGATGCGGGGCGATGGTATTCACTTTTGCGGTTTCGGCGCCGATCAGACACATCCCTGTCTCGTGGAAGCGGTTTACGCCGCATCGGCGCGGACAGAGGTTGCAGTTCTGCAGGTGGGCGTAGGCCAGGGAACGCTTTTTGGAGGCATCGATGGAGGAGAGGAGTTGGTAGCGGGGGATGTAGTCGTCGAGGAGGTAGGCCGGGGGGATGCCGAGGCGGCGTTTTGGGGTATATCTATATGTACATTTGGGCGGGGCTCGGAGGGAAGGATAGGGGTGAAGGGTGCGGAGGGAGCGTGTTATTGAGGTCATTTTTAGGGGGATTACTGTATTATTGTCATTGCGGTGGTTGAGGTGATTGTTTGTATGAAGGTTTTGGTGTTTGAATGTTAGTAGGCTCCGATGCATGCTTATCGGCAGCTTATCTCAGCCATGGCGTCATACCTCGGCTGTTGCACAACAAATCATTGGAAAGCAATTAGATTGACCAGGTCTCAAAGTATGAGTATCAGTATCATTTCAAAATCAGCATCACGCATAGTGTACATGCCACAAATATCCACATATATCACCAAGTATATTTACGAATCCATATCAACACGAAGTAAGCATATCTTCCATTCGCCATGCCATCCCCTTGACAATGAAGCCAGCATAAGCCCGGAGTAGACAGCGAATCCAATAGTATCAGGTAGAATGTAAGCCATTGACCGGTCAATGCACGCCATAAATCACATCTCGTCGTCAGCTGTATCACCGCGAAACTACAGTGCTAGCCCACTGCCGTCGCCGCTCCAGCGGTATAGCGCAAGCACTTCGCGTCGGCGCTGCTGCTGCTCCCCAAAGTCCTCCGGGATGCGTCCTCGAACCTGCGCCAGCGCCGATCGCATGACCTTGCGGAATGTACGCTACATAGCGTTAGTTATCAATATTAATAAGGGAATAAACAAAAGGCCTACCTGGTACTCTGTGTTCAAGGTTACGACGCACGCCTCATGCGCCCGCACGATCGTCTCGCATGCCCGCACAACACTTGGACTGGCATCGCCTTGCAGCTTGTCCGCCGCCAGTAACAGCAAGAAGCTGCCTTGTAGCAGGTAAATCCCGAAGAAGAACGGCATGAAGCTGAGATCTGGATCATGTTCCAAAATTTCTGC